AAAAACAAAACAAAGAAAGAGCAGGCGCAAGACAGTGCAGTAAAAAGTGCAACAATGACAGTGGGTCGTGGAAAAACATGCATTTATTATAAAGAGTTCAGATGATCACCTTCATTTCATCTCTCAGGCTGCACTGGCCACGGGGAAAGACCATGTCATCAGTGACAGGGAAGTTACTGGGCAGGGTTGCACAACACTGGATCAAAATGGGGTTGACACCATTTAGAAACTGGTAGCCAAAGAAAGCATCCTCTTTCCAGTGTTCCTGAACATATTCTGTTTAAAAGAAACATTTACCTTCATGATTTACAGTTCATCATTCAGTAAAATCTACCTGGTATAGTGGTATAGGGAAAATTTTAGGGTAAGAGTTAATTACACATTACTAACTATAATGTTAGTACAGTACCTGATATTTCAGTCTTTTGCAGCAAAACACTCGATTGATGCTGTCAATATTATCCCACTTCTTCTTACAGTTATCCAGTCCCTTCAGCTCAGTCAGTCTGAAACACATTCATCTTACTTCATTATGATACTTAACATACTTTTGATAAGTAAAGAGAAAAATATGTGTAACAGAACTTCACCCTGTGGAAGCAGTGTAGAGAAACTCTGTAGTTTTGGTGAAGGAGAACTGAACCTCATACGGGAGTGAAAATGGGTTTTTTGCCTTCATGGAGTGAGGTATTTTCTCTGCATATGCATCCCAGCTGATGAAACAAAGAAACAGCAAAGTGATGAGGAAGTTAGTTACAGTATGACATGATATACTTTTTATCTGCAACATATGTAATAGTTTAATTTCTTTTAATTAATCCCAGCAGACAAAGAATATGCTGTAATGCTTAATTTAATGCTTAAATATATTTAAGCTTTAGGTTTAGTATTAGGATATTCAGCTATAACTAGACAGCCTTTGTATTCCAGTTTCAGGGGACATAAAGCTAAAATGTGTATAAGCTCTGAATTCTCACCGATAGTCTTCTTCTCGCTGCTGAATCTCCTGCTGCCGACTGTACCTGCCAAGATGATGGTTGTCTTCAAAGACTCTCAGAGCTATATAAAAAAAAAAGAAAGAAAGAAAGAAAAATGGTTTGTCTAACTCTATCAGCACAAGATTTCCAAGGGAAGTGGAGCAGGACACCTTAAACTTTGATACCTAAAGAAATGACATAGCAATTTGTGCTGAGCTGTAACACTCCAGCATACAATTCCTCTTATAATTTACTGTGGTCCATGAAGTGAACTGTTTGCTTTGACCATCTTCATGGTGATAGATTCCCCTTATTTCCACAAAAATGATTTTATTTGTGTATCATCTCATACAGGAAGCCTGAAAAACATAATCATGAAGATGCATATTTCAGACTTACAGCTCCTCTGACGAAGGATGTAGCCCCTTTCAAGCCCATGAGCCACGTGCGATCACTCTCCCCATTTGTGCCCACCAGCTTAATGAAGACATTGTTGAGAGTAGTGGAATTAAGGCGATCGCCAGTGAATACGGTCACTTTATACTGCACCATTTTCCCTCTTGAATGTGGTCAAATCCTGGTAGGGGGAGAATTCTAATTATTCTTAGCACTGATTTGGAAATGTAAACATTTAAAATTATTGCATTACAGTGAAAAGGACAATGTAAACAATTATTTTAACTCATTATGCTAAATGACCCATAATTTCTGACTGAAATCCTATGAAAACATCTCTTACCTTCTGATGAAGAATTTAGGCTAGAGAAACTACTCTGTCAGAAGTTGCCCCCCAAAATTTTTCTTTTTATTCACACAAATCAGTGGGAGTGTCCAGTCAGTTGCATCAATCATGTGTTGAGATGAAATTCTTGATAAAGTTGTGCAAATAATGACGTCTATCCTATTCAGGATAAATCAGATACTGATAACTGTTGTGTGTTTTTGGACAGTCACTTCGGTTTTTGTCCTCCAGTTTCCTGAAGGGCTTTTGGAAACACCTCACACCATGCTGATATCTGCCAAATGTTTTGCTAATTTGCAGCTATTTGGAAATACCTTTGTTGGTATTAAATACTATTTTCTGTCTGTAAAACTTTGAGTTAGGTGCCTTTTTCAGTTTTAAATTGCTTAACAAACAAAAAATATTCTTCTGAAACTTATCAGGTACAAGAATTGCACTGAAAATGAGTGAAAAACCAGCCAATGGCCAAAGAAAAACTTTAAAATAACCATCCGAAAGCACTATTGAACTATTGCTCATCACTTAAAAACATTAGAAGTCTTGCTGTTTGGTTGCAAAATACAATTAAATAAGGGGTGGCTCAAGGCTTTTGCACAGCCTGGGTCAAATGAACGTAGAAAAATATGAAGAAAATTCATTAATAAGTAACTGCAAAACTGTTGTATGTGTCTTTTTATTGTTTCTCACACAAACACAGTGATCACAGGCAGCTAAATTATTAGTGTAAACTACTACACTACATACAGTAGCAGCTGCTCTAAAAAAGCACGTTTTGATAAAGGCTGGTTTAGGGCGCCAGCAGATTTATAAGCACATTTTTAAGCACATTTTTTCAGTCTGTGTAATGCACTTCTACATGGGATCATTACCTTGTTAGTCAGTTATTCTTGTTTAATAAGCCAGAACAATAACCACATAATGGCTCTGTGAGCATGATCATGAAACCAAAATGAATAAAAAAAAAAGCAGTTAGTCATTTTGCAACAATTAACAATTAGATTATATAAAAAAGTCCAAATGCAATGGTGATGCTTGTTCACTAATTTCCTTTTTTACTTCAGTGTCAGCTCAAAGTACTATTTACAATCTTTTCATTTTCCCTTTATTTTAAAGTCAAGCTAAGGCAGAGGCTCAGATCTGCGGGGAAGGGACCGTCAGGAGCCCGGTGGGCTTCAGCTTGTTGATCCCTCCGTCCAGGTTACAAACACGTGGAAAACTCATCTTCACTAGATGTGCAGCAAACTGCAGAAAAAGAGAGAAAGTTCCCATCAAAAACTGAATACTAAACACTTCAGATTTATTGGTTTTGTTCAACTTTTTCTGTCTGCTGTATTACTAATATTTAGGACTGAAGTAGTTCTAGTTTCTCTGTAGTTATAAAAGGCAAATCCACCACTGTAAAATACTCCAATGTAAAATTGGTTTATCAACCTCTCTGAGACAAGCTCAGCATAAATTTACACATCAGACTGCGGGATTACGCCTTAACATAAAAATGCACTAATTCAGTACATTTTTAAGTTTAAGAATTAAACATTTTATATTTCTCTGTGACTCCTCATTGAACCTTTGTTGTGTCAGTTACATGGTGAAACCAAGGAGGGGAATATGATTGCAAAACCTCTTCCTCTGCTACTCATGCAATTATATATATAAAAAAAAAAACCCTGATACCCGCTGAACTGGGGTTGACCTTATTCTAACCAAATTATTAACCACAGTAAAATGGTAAAGAAATTAAATTTTGATCATTTCATTTCATGACCTAGGTGATTCAAAGGCCTTATGGATTTCTTATGTCTCTGACATTAAATCCACAAATTCTTCAAAAACAGCTTCTTAAAACCTCCTAATTAAAAGGTGATCCTGTCACATGAATAGTTGTCAAATCATATATATGATGATAATGACAAAAAAATCATTATGTTTGATACTTGGCTTGAAATGAAAGAACATGATTATCACCATGCAAAACACGACAGGGATAAAGCCACATCCACACGACTGTATACTGATTATGTGGACCATTAAAAGGTTAAACGCAGCAAAGTTCTGATGCTTCCCTTTAATAAAGAAAATGCAGGATTGTCTTCTCAGTTAATAAGAACTATTTCTTTTTCACTTTCTAACATATGGAAGGGGGACATCTTTGCTAAATTGGGATTTTGCCTGAAGCACTATCCCTGCTGAGTTTATAAATGCCAGCTTGGCTAATTTATTCCAAGAAGAGCACGAAAGGAGAATGTACGATGATCAGTGTAGTTCTCTCTTGTGTTATGCTGAAGTGAGCAAATTTATTTTTGTTCACTGAAATATCAGATGGTGATTTATGTAAAATATAATCTGCTAATGTTCAAAATGTTCCAATGAACTATTTATTACATTGTACGCCAGACCAATAATCTCAGTGTGGCTTTATATAACAGATGGCTGAATTTTACAAGACAGAGGCCTGAATTTAAAGATTATTGCCTTCACAAAATATTTAATATCGACAAGACTAAGTATAAATTTTTAGTAGTCATGAAACAGAAGATTGATTGTTTTATCTTATTAAATATATGCTCAAATAAATGCTCCTATGAACAAAAACAAGTTGTCAAAATGCTTGCATCAGTTCCAGAAAGCAGTTTTTAGAAAACTAAAAACTGGACCATAATGTTAGCGATGTAGTAGCTCATCTCACTCACAATCCATCACAATTCACAGGTTATTGTAATGTGTGAAGGACAGAAAGAAATTGATAAATGTTGTAATTGGTTACCTTTATTGCACAAACTAATGAGAAATTAGATCCACTTAGAAGTCAAGGAGGGTCGCAAACAGTTAAGGACAAATTAATTTCATCCACCACTAAATTAAAGTTTAAGTTCAGGACTTTTTCTGACTCCTGGTGATCGACATTTTCATGGCCATGAAAACCATGAATATAGTTAGTTACTTTGTTTGCTTGTTTATTTGTTTGTTTTTGTTGCAAGGACAAGACCGTTACTAGTCTATCCCCATTATAAGCTAACAGTTATACATAAGGATCTATACACTTTTACCTCAAAATTTCTTAAAAGAGTAGTTAGAAAACTGCTAACTGATCATCTGCGGAGGAACGATTTATTTGAAGGGTTTCAGTCGGGATCCAGAGCTCATCACAGTATAGAAACAGCTTTAGTGAAAGTTACAAATGATCATCTTATAGTCTCTGACAGTGGACTCAACTCTGTGGTTTTTCTACTAGACCTCAGTGCAGCATTCGATACTGTTGACTGTAATATTTTATTACAGCAATTAGAGCACGCTGTACATATCAAAGGTACTGTGCTGCAGTGGTTTGAATCCATCTATCCATTCTCTTTTGTTTATCCTTATCTGGGTCACGGAGGGCTGGAGCCTATCCCAGCTAGGTTAAGGTGAGACGTGGGCTGCACCTTGGACAGGTTCTGAGTCTGTCACAAGGGCTAATACACAGGGACAGACCAACCATTTGCAGTCACATTTACACCTGCAGTTGTTTGCATATTTGTCACACTTACATGTTTCAGATCATCAAACAAATTGAAATATTATTGAAAATACTCTCTGGACTGACGAGACAAAAGTTAAACTTTTTGGATGTTTTTTTGGATGGACCAGTTCTGTTTACATTTTACCTGCTTCATATATACATTTTCACTGCTATGCAGATCATACCCAGTGTTATCTTTCTATAAAGCCAGAGACACACACACAGACATAAAGACCTGGATGACCTCTAATTTTCTGCTTCTAAATTGAGATAAAACAGACATGATTGTACTCAGTCCCAAAATCTTAGATATATGGTGTTTAACCAAATACTTACTCAGGATGATATTACCTTGGCCTCCAAT